GAGTGTCAGTGTGAGAGGAGAGGGACAGCAGTGTCTCGAGCAGTGTCTCCAGTCCAGGCAGGAGTGTGTCAGTGTCAGAGGAGAGGGACAGCAGTGTCTCTAGCAGTGTCTCCAGTCAAGTCTCCCAGTGTAATTTACCAGCCAGCCCAACACCTTGTTCTGTGTGTCAGTGTGAGAGGGGAGGGACAGCAGTGTCTCTAGCAGTGTCTCCAGTCCAGTCTCCCAGTGTAATCTACCAGCCAGCCCAACACCTGAGTTTCCCTGGGCTAAGAGACACAATGTTCCATCCAACCAAGAGCTAGGTTTCTAATTGGCAATTGACTGATGGGTCAAAGTTCTGATTGAATCCACACCTTAGGAAGATTAGTCATTACAAAAGCTCTTTTATGACGCGCTATAAAGAGCAAAAAGGTTTATGCAAGATCTTCTGTTTGGAGGAAACAATATCCTTGTTTTGTTTCCTTGTTAATCCTTTTTTTTAAGGTTGTGTGAAGCAGCTGTTGGTCTCGGGACAGGCCTGCGCCATGCAGACTGGTGCACCTCGGGGCAGTAAAATTCGAGGCGGCGGCGGCGGCGGTGGTGGTTGTGGGGGGTGGCTCTGTGCCCGTGACGGGGCAAGACCGTGACGGAGAGAAAGTGAGGCCTCCTGGAGCAAAGTCTGCCTGTCTCTGTGTGTCTGCGGGCAGAGACTCTGCGGATCAGCGCTTCTTCGCTTCCTGAGACGGTACAGGAACGGGCCCTGCGGCCCGCCTGCTCTGTTGGGTCGTTAGTCGCTCATCGATCCCAGGATCTCATGCAGCTGGTTCTTGAGAGAAGCCAGCGTATCGGGCTGGGCAGCTCGTCTCGAGCCCCCCCAGTTCTTTGGTGCAAGCAGGGGCTGAGGTTTACATTCTCTTTCACTCACGCTCTCACGCCCAACTGTGCCGAAAGACCGACTTCCCCTTTCCGGCCTGCTGGGATGGTCCTGCTTCTCCCGGCCCTACTCCGGCTCCGTGGGGGTTTAAGGTGGACTCGGCCCGGGAGAGTCGGTTTCTCGCGAGGATGCTGATGTGAGCAAGGCCTCCGGGGAATGGATTTTCCCTGTGTTTGGGGAACATCCTGAGCTCCTGGGATCGGCCTCTCTCCCGCGGGGGGGCAGCTCAGTGAAGACGCTTGCGGAGATCAGAGGTTTCTTTGCTCTTTTTCGGGCGGGGGGGGGGGGTCATCAGAGACGGGAGGGTCTGGTGTGCGCGTCATGTGGCCGAGTTGTTATATAACGCGGAGAACTGGAACGGAGGCTTAAAAATATCCCCAGCGAGCGTCCCAACGGGCAGGTGTGATCCGCGAGGCCTGCTCTCTCGCTACGCCGCGCGGGATCACCTCCAGGCGCTGTCTTCCTCCCCTGAACCTGGGCACCTGCGGCATAACAGCTGTGAGAGTCTGTGTCAGGCCCTGCGTGCCCCACGTAGCAGCAGTCGTGTTGTTTATCTCCGCTTTGGAGGTCTGACTTTTGATTTGGGGTGGGGGCTGTTGCCTCCGGTGCTGGATGCAGGGCCTGATGCAGACGCTCTGCCAGCAGGCTGCAGTGTGACCATGAGCGCTGGGAACGTTGCTGTTGTGGTCGTGGTGGTATCTGCTCTGTGACCGAGAGAGGAGGTGCAGGTTCTTTCCCGCTGGGCTTTTGCAGTTTTCCACCGGAAATGGAAAGTCTGTCCCGGGATCAAAGCCTGCGTTCCTCTCTCCTCTTCCCCCCCTCCTGCACCGGGCCGATTCGAGGATCCCATCCTCCGGGAGTGACTACGACTCCTGGCTTTCCAGGGGGCCGAGGTCGCGGGTGTCCATATGCCCTGGCTTTCCAAGGAACGCCGGCAGTTTCCGGGAGGGGGTGGGGGCTGGAGGGTGACGAGGAGGGAGTTGGCAGGATTGCAGCCGGAGTCCCGGACTTTGGCCCGCAGACTGGCGCCGGGAGGCTGTAATTCCCAGGGTCAGTCGGCTGCGAGCAGGCACACGTGACGCACTGGGGGGGCCACCCTGCCGCTGGGGGGGCTGTGATCCCCAGACGGGCCGCTGGCGCCGTGCGGGACGAGCAGTCCGATGGGCGATTGGCGTCTTGTCTCCGGCCTGCGGGCCCCTCAGCTGTTTTGTCCCCAGAAAAGCGGGTCTCTGCGGGCTTCTGCTCTGCAGTGGCATTGCTCCTGGGCACTGCGGGTCGGGCTGGGTCGGGGAAAAGGCCCGGTTACCCACTGAATCGGTACCGCTGCCTGTAACGCGATCAGCGCGGGGAGGGGCAGCAGGACAGAAACGCAGATGTTCAGGGGAGAAAAAGATTTCTGGGTGGTTTTATTAGTATTATGATTTTTTTCCCCCCAACCAAGGAAGGTGGTGGGGCCTGAGCTTGACCTGCAGAGTCACCAGCGCAGTCCCCAGTACTGTACACCGTAATCGACACAGGAAGCCAGCCAGCAGAACAGGCTCCACATTCTTTTGAATGAGACCCTGCGGTACAGCAGGCCTCTTGTGTGTGAGCATCTGCGTCAGGCCCTGCTCCCTGCGCAAGGCCAGGCTGTTCCAGATGTCCATTTTGTTTCATGCCTGTGATCCTTAGTCCAGGCTGCTCAGACTTGTAATAATTATCCTTGCACTTATGTAGCTCTTTTCTGGACACCCCCCTCAAAGCGCTTTACAGGTCATGGGGATCCCCCCCACCACCATCAGTGTGTACCCCCATCTGGATGATGCTCCAGTCCGCTCCCCACACACACCAGCTTACAGTGGGGAGGAGCGCGGAGTGTTGGAGCCAGTTCAGAGATGGGGATTAGTTTGCTGGGTTCCTGTCCAATGATCTGGGTAGCACATTGGAGTCCTGCTCCTTTGCAATGTTGATCCATTCCTAGACTTTCGAGCAGCAGAAAGCTTGTACTGTTATCACTGGAGAAGCGCTGCTCTTTCACTGTAAATGTTTGTTGCTTTGCTGAAAATCTGGAGCACAACAAGCGTAAACTGTCCTGTTCCTGGTCTCGAGTTCTGAGCCTTTGCCTGGAAGGGACCCTGTTCTTCTTCAGGGCCAGTAAGGCCATACAGTACTTTCAGAAGGGAGCCTGCAGCCCCCAGGTCCTGAAATGGATCGCGCTCTCTGGCTCCCGGTCTTGATCCCGACTCCTGTTTTGCAGGCCGGGCCGGATGGATAGGATGAAGGTCATCAAGCGGCGCCTGTCCATGACGCTGCGCAGCGCCCGGCCGGTCGACGAGTCGCTGTCCGAGCTCGCCGAGCAGATCACG